TTACGCAATTATAATTTGTTTATCAATCGAAAATACAGAGCAATTTGGTACAGAACATTGATCTTTCAAATAAGAATTCAAGTAACTTCAGAAGTATTGAATTTCGTTAAATTTTCAGTGAAATTTGAAATTTCGCCAAAACCAAAATAGGAGAAATTAGGTGTCCGGAATACCGAGAAATGATAAAAGTCATCAGATTTTTTGTCCCTCCCTCCACCTTCCTATACAGGGTGTCCCATCTGAAAAGATGCGGCCAAATATCTCCCAAGGCGGGTGAGTAACAAAAAAATATTTCATACAAAAATTGTAGGATTTCGAGGGGGACACCCGATGTAGTTATTACTTTGAGCTTTCAAGCTCACACTTGCAAGCTGCAAGCAGAAAGTCCTTTTTTTCAAATAGCAACCGCATTTTTTACCCCAATGAAACTTGTTCACCTTGATGAGTTGTTTTCAGAAACCTCGTCATTCATTTCATTTCATCCCATTTTACTCGAAAAATGCCATAAAAAGAATTTCCAGGTAATTTTATCTGTTGACAGTATCATTGAAGTAATATGGGCCTATTACTTGCCCATCAACCACACCGCACTACACGTTTACTTTTCAACGATGTTGACGATCAATGTGTTGCGTCCAGCGAGGATTTTCCCTTGACCAATAATGACAATTGTGTCGATTTAACGATCCAGTACTCTGGAACGCTGCCTCGTCGCTGAAGAGAACGTACTGAAAAAAGTGTGGATCTTCATTCAGTCTCTGCAAGACCCAGTTACCAAAATCAACGCGGTTTTGCCTGTTTTGCGCAGACAATGCTTGATTCAAAATTATATGATACGGGTCGTAGTGGCCAGATCGCAAAATTCTTTGTGCTGTGCTCCGTGGTACTTTTAAATCCCGTTCAATTTCTTTCAAACTGACGTGAGGATTCATGTGAATCATAGCTAATATTGCAACAGCTNCTGCCTCGTCGCTGAAGAGAACGTACTGAAAAAAGTGTGGATCTTCATTCAGTCTCTGCAAGACCCAGTTACCAAAATCAACGCGGTTTTGCCTGTTTTGCGCAGACAATGCTTGATTCAAAATTATATGATACGGGTCGTAGTGGCCAGATCGCAAAATTCTTTGTGCTGTGCTCCGTGGTACTTTTAAATCCCGTTCAATTTCTTTCAAACTGACGTGAGGATTCATGTGAATCATAGCTAATATTGCAACAGCTCGGGGATCATCAGGATTAATACCTTGGTGTACTTGTTGTTGTCGTCCTCGAAGGATTCTCCCTCTTCTACAACACCTTTCGATCCTCCGGATAACTAAATCTGTAGGATAATGTAGTCGATTGCGGTACCGTTCTCGATATGTTCGAGCAGCGGCTCGATACACTCTCCTACACTCTACCAAAACAAGTAAAATATCAACAATTTCATTGGCTGAATACATCGTGATGTGTTCAATGAAATAACAAGTGATATGGGAGGGTGGGGGAAAATGGAACGGTGGGGCAAAATGGAACGGCGGGGCAAAATGTAACGCGGGGCAGAATGGAACGGTACAAAAAACGAATATAGAGCGAAATTCAGACACCTTTTTTTTTCACCTTATGTGAGCTCAAAAATGATGATTCGGGGTTAAGTCAGTGACATCAGTCTACTCTGTAGTTATTGCTATCTTGTAATCTAAGGGAGATAGGAGAATTTTGATAAGGACCTTTTTGTGAAGAATTTCAAGGGCTATAAAAAAAGGTCATTATAACAATTTTGCTATCTGCATTGTAAAAAAGATAATTCAAGGTTAAAAAACTGAAGAAAAATCTGATATGTCTGTAAATTCAATTATAGAGTAATAGACGATACAGATAAATAAATAAGACCTTTGGAATATTATTGTTCTATGAATAAATTGAATATTAAACAAAGGTCCTATAGTTTTTGAAAACCAAAATTCATTACCGTTCCATTTTGCCCCATTCTCTCCTTTTCTTGAAAATTAATAGAAATCTGGAAAGTTAAAGCAAATGAATTTTTGAATTTTCAATTGATTAAAAATTGAAGAATACAGTATATAATTTAGTTTACTAAAGTTTACTAATGTTTTGATTGAAAATTCAGATGAGTTAAGGAATTGTCATCTTTCTGCTCTTCAAAAATTTCAAATTTAAATGAATTTTCGAATGAAAACCCCGAATCATCATTTTCGAGCTCACATTAGGTGAAAAAAAAGTGGTCGGAATTTCGCTCTATATTCCGTTTCATTTAGCGCCGCGTTCCATTTTGACCCGTCGTTCCATTTTGCCCCACCCTCCCCTACTAACTTGATGCGGGATGAATTGGCACCGATTAGAATAAAATAATCCTCGAAGGAGAAGGGAAATGTTTTGTTTATTGTTTACATTTGATAATTCCGGTGTGTAAACAGATCAATGGAACAATTACACCAAGATGCGCCAAGGATGTTTGAATCTTGAATTCGACCACAGAGCTCGTTTTTGTGGCATTTTTCGAGTAAAATGAGATGAAATTGAATGAATGATGAGGTTTCTGAAAACAACTCATCAAGGTGAACAAGTTTCACTGGGGTAAAAAATGCGGTTGCTATTTGAAAAAAATCACTTTGTGCTTGCAGCTTGCAAGCGTGAGCTTGAATGAGACACTGAAAAGACGTTGTAGGCTATCATACCTCAGGTAGTATAATAGCTGCATTAAAAAATCAAAAAAAAAATGATAAAAAATATGGAAAAAATAATTGACACAAAACACAATTCTTGGGAAAAAGCCGAAGCATAAAAAACCCAGATATATTTACTTTGATACAAGATTTAAACGATTAACTGCGAATGACGGTATTCACACACACACATGCATCCACACACCAATATTTGTCTAGGAACGCATAAGGCGAACTGTCGACTGAATATGTAGACCGATACGCGCACTAATAGATAACGATAGGATAAATCCCACACTGAATGTTCAGGTGGAATAAGTTAGGATTGCGCAATTCGATAATCACGACTTCGATATCGTGGCTTCGGTGCCACGTGTGACACAAAATTATTGGATTTCGTGTCTTAGATTAAGATTTTTGATTGATAGTTTTTCGGTTTTTTCGTCACTACAGTTTGTGAACGAAAACGATTGATTGATCGATGGTTCCTTTCGGATAATTATTTTGTCGATTATGACAACGATAAAGTCAGGATGANTACAGATAAATAAATAAGACCTTTGGAATATTATTGTTCTATGAATAAATTGAATATTAAACAAAGGTCCTATAGTTTTTGAAAACCAAAATTCATTACCGTTCCATTTTGCCCCATTCTCTCCTTTTCTTGAAAATTAATAGAAATCTGGAAAGTTAAAGCAAATGAATTTTTGAATTTTCAATTGATTAAAAATTGAAGAATACAGTATATAATTTAGTTTACTAAAGTTTACTAATGTTTTGATTGAAAATTCAGATGAGTTAAGGAATTGTCATCTTTCTGCTCTTCAAAAATTTCAAATTTAAATGAATTTTCGAATGAAAACCCCGAATCATCATTTTCGAGCTCACATTAGGTGAAAAAAAAGTGGTCGGAATTTCGCTCTATATTCCGTTTCATTTAGCGCCGCGTTCCATTTTGACCCGTCGTTCCATTTTGCCCCACCCTCCCCTACTAACTTGATGCGGGATGAATTGGCACCGATTAGAATAAAATAATCCTCGAAGGAGAAGGGAAATGTTTTGTTTATTGTTTACATTTGATAATTCCGGTGTGTAAACAGATCAATGGAACAATTACACCAAGATGCGCCAAGGATGTTTGAATCTTGAATTCGACCACAGAGCTCGTTTTTGTGGCATTTTTCGAGTAAAATGAGATGAAATTGAATGAATGATGAGGTTTCTGAAAACAACTCATCAAGGTGAACAAGTTTCACTGGGGTAAAAAATGCGGTTGCTATTTGAAAAAAATCACTTTGTGCTTGCAGCTTGCAAGCGTGAGCTTGAATGAGACACTGAAAAGACGTTGTAGGCTATCATACCTCAGGTAGTATAATAGCTGCATTAAAAAATCAAAAAAAAAATGATAAAAAATATGGAAAAAATAATTGACACAAAACACAATTCTTGGGAAAAAGCCGAAGCATAAAAAACCCAGATATATTTACTTTGATACAAGATTTAAACGATTAACTGCGAATGACGGTATTCACACACACACATGCATCCACACACCAATATTTGTCTAGGAACGCATAAGGCGAACTGTCGACTGAATATGTAGACCGATACGCGCACTAATAGATAACGATAGGATAAATCCCACACTGAATGTTCAGGTGGAATAAGTTAGGATTGCGCAATTCGATAATCACGACTTCGATATCGTGGCTTCGGTGCCACGTGTGACACAAAATTATTGGATTTCGTGTCTTAGATTAAGATTTTTGATTGATAGTTTTTCGGTTTTTTCGTCACTACAGTTTGTGAACGAAAACGATTGATTGATCGATGGTTCCTTTCGGATAATTATTTTGTCGATTATGACAACGATAAAGTCAGGATGACTCGTCAAAATGATTGACTTGCAGTTGCAAACGATTCACACACTTGTAGCGTCGGTTAGACTCTGACCTCATCGAGCGTCCGCGCACGCTCGGACCCGCCAGACTGGCGCATGGTGGCGTTGCCACCCAGTTCGCCAACATACCAAGCGCGGTTACATTGAAATACATGTGTTACGATGGAACAGACACCCTGTATGTGTGAAAAGAGGAGTCATAAAAGTTCCGAATGAAAGGACTTCTAGGAATCCCTGCTTTTTCTGTGGTAGAACTCCTCAACTGCGCCGTCTTGTGAACCCACGTCAGGAGACGTAAAACGTCGCATTCTGGTGTTGCTAAATTTGAAGAAGCTATTACCGAATTTATAGTATAGTAAGGAATAAGGGAAAAATGGGTACTAAACAAATCAGGAGATACGGTAGCATCTCTGGATAAAGACGCAGACTGTGAGTTTCTCACTTCGATTTCTGAAAATTTAATGATGGAAAATTGTACACGATATAATAGTGCCTAGATAAAATTGTCCACCAATAATTAATCCACATACAAAATGTTCGTTTACATGTCGCGGAATTTGACCATTTTCAAGCCTTAGTTCAGGGCTTGATGAGTCCTGCTTCCATCGCCAATAGAGAGTCGTCGTCCTCCATTGATCGAAGCGTATGTCTTGATGACGTTAGGTTAGCTCAAGCCGCCTTGGGATTAGTCCAGCACTCGACCGTCTCCATGACGTCATAAGCATTTCCCGAACGTTTGGAAAGCTTCAATTTTTGATAATTAATTACTATTCAACGAGTTGTAAAGAGAATATCCACATATTAATATTGGGACTGGATAAGCGTAGCCAGGGACGGAATTAGCTTTATCCGGAGAGATGCACGCGTACTATAGCGTAAACATCCTCTCAGCAATCGATCCGTTAGCGACGCACATCTCGACGTCCCGTCTAAACATTTGACGAACCTGGGTCTGGGGTCTCCACGATGAACGAGACCGTCGATAGACTGCCCTGAGCCGTGGGCAAGAGCATTCTTCCGACTGAAATATAATTATTCAAATACTATATTGTTTGCATTTTTAATGAGGACTCTGTAAAGAAGGCGATCCTACAATAAATGGACAAATATCCACTCTTTTAAAAAGTCATTTGGGGAGTGAATTTATTAAGTTTATACCCTTTCATTAAAATACTACGTACAGAGTAATATTTCGAAGCTTTACGGTTGAAAAATTATTCACTTAGACCCTAAACTTGAGATAAAAAATCCTGCAAGTTGTCTATTACAGACGTAAGAAAATCCGATCACGTAATTAAAATTCACGAGGATCAGACGTGACAGCCGGAAATGACGTTCAGACATGAAGCGCCTAGGTTCCTGGGGATCCTGATTTGAGTAAAAATATGCATTCAGAACCAAATTTCTAATGTATGAGAAGAAATGTGATGAAAAAAAAAGAGCGACTGCCGATTTGTTTTAAGTAAGGTTATAGTGAACTATATTTTAGTCAGTATTCCTCACTCTCGTTGGTCTAAACTTTAGTAGTGACCATCGCATCCGTACATTCCACACTAACTTGAACGGAATTACATGCCGTTCTTGAACCACTTTCGTTATTTTTTATAAGAAAAGCAACTTAGGCTTTGAAAACGTTATTATTCAATGTCTGACAACCATAGAAATGTTGGATTTTTTTAGGTCTACTCGGATAAAAAATGAACATGGGAATAACTAACTGACCCGTCGGAGAATGCTACGTGCGTCACGTGTTATTGACGCGGAAGAGACTTTACAAAGATAAACAGTGAAATGAATAAGAGGTGACCGTTCACTTGCCATGTTCCAGTCTGGGCTGATATTACCGTGAGTCTGGTCAGCAGCCATCTTGTTTAATAAGTTAAGTGACGACGCAGCTGCCTGTCTCAATGAAGCATTAGTTTACGTTTGGACGTGTCGGCGTCGGTGGCTGGTATGTATTGTGTAAGACAAAGAGAATGGTAACAAAAAACAGTTTGTTTCATTAGGGAGATGCGCGCACGCGATGTCGTCTTCTTTCCCTCTTTCCTGCTTTTGCAATATCGCTTGAACAGTGAGTGCGAGTTCTTGGAGTTGGTTTTCATTTTTTTAAATACGAGGGAGAGGATCGTGGTCGTGGTCGTTGTCGCACTTTTATGAGAACATAAATTGGTCAACTGTGGCGAGGAGTAGGGAAGTGCTAAAATTCATGAAGATTGGTGTCAATGAAAAGCATGTGCACACTCGGTTTAAAATGAAAAGAACTCGAGCCTCTGACTCAATTAGTGAATTGGAAAATTATGTATTCTTATCGTGACTTATAGTTCTATTCCATTCGCTATACGGAGTATCTATATTTATAAAAATAGTTACGGATACATTTATGTTAATACGAATTAGTATATATATCGGGCGCAGTACGAGCAAATTGATCATGTAACTATAACTATACTCATAACTATAACTGTTACTATAACCGCATAGGTATATTTATGAATATAGTCAATTATATACAAATAACTGTGTATCTATATATGTATGTCAGGCGGACTATATGAGCATACCGAACCGGCCATGTAGCAGATGTGTCATTATAGTTGTAACTCTATACAATGCTCTGCAGGAACCAATGCCTTTCGGTTTGACTCCCACCAATTGCTATTCCTGTCTGCGAATATAGGAATAGGGCGAAAGCCGAGTGAACGCGGTGATTTTTTTTTTTTGCAAATATCAATTATTGCTGTAACTATAATTGTCGGTATAGATACAGGTGCAAATATAGCTATACCTACATGGTGACATTAATACCATGCTTACAAATTTTAGGAGTTCATACGATAGAATACCAAGAATTCAATGCTACAAAAATTATTAAATTCTTATAATAGACTTTCAAGTGGTCAACGTTAGAATTTTTCAATACTTTAAACCATTACGGTGTGATTGACTGCCGCCATGGTTGAAAACGATGCCTTGGTATGTTTCAACAATCTCAACTATTTTGAATTTCAATAGATGAGGTGGAAAATTGGAATCTTTCTCTCAGATTGTTGAATTACAATTTGTTGTTGTTACCAGGGAAATTTCAATCAACTCAAGTTTTCTTTTATAATTCCTCAATTAAAATCGTTAGACTGTTTTAATGTGAAGAAGTCGATTTATATTTATGAGAGTGACAAAGTGAACTCTATATAAGTCAAAAATTTTCCCCAAGCCATGAATGATGAGATTCCTCGTGTCTCAAACTTCTCACTCTTTTAATTGACTCATTTGTTCTCGCATACCAATCTGTTCAAACATCTGTTAGCGACTCTAAAAAATGTTTTATGTGATGGAAAAGAAATGACGACAAAGTTCTGGCTCATAAAACGAGAGGACGTAATTAATTAGACATTTAGTGTAACGAGCCAAGGCCATCACGTATGAAAAAATCCTATAGAGAATTCGAACATTTCCTAGAGGATTTTTCTGATAGGATTTCTTATAGGATTCCCTATAGATTTTCTTATCAGATTTATGACCCTAATCCGGACCCTTGTGACCGATTAGTTTCGAGTCTCAATTTTGTGTGTTACTTTTTATAGAAAATCTTATAGTGAATCCTATAGGAAATCTTATAGAAAATCCTATAGGAAATCCTATAGGATATCCTATAGGAAATTCTATAGGATTTTTTCATACGTGTACAGCCGAATGGTGAACAAATGAGAAGGATGATGACGAATAGCTGTATTGTACTCTGCGGAATACATATAGTCATTAGAGAAGGAAAAAATTGAACAAAGGATATGAAATTTTTAATCCTTCAACGTCGAAGAATTAATTGTGCACATAATAACCAATTGACATTCATAGATCATTAACTAATGAAAAAAGCTTAATAATAATTAAGGTGTTTCGTGTGTAGCTCACCGGCGGGGGGAGGGGAGGTGAAACGGAAGGGGAGTCTTATTTTTCTCGAGCCCTGATTCAATCTCTGAGCACGAAATTTTCCAATTTTCAAGTACTATTTAAGTGTGATTTGAACATTTTTTGAATATTGATTTTATTTATCAGATTGATTGATTTTATTCTCATCACCTACGGATGTCAAATCGCGTGAATTGTGCTAAAAAGTCGTATAAACATTTTTTGTTCCTGAAAAAATTTGGGCCAAAACGTGGTATAAACACTTCCCCAGGGAATAGTCGATCTCCACGTTTTAAATGATGCTGAGTCATTTAAGCCCAATTTTTCGAGACAAATTTTATAATTTTTTTACGGGGAATTTTGGAATTTTTTGGAATTTATTGGAGGAAGTAGGTCTCCAGCTGAACATTAATAAATAAATGAATCAAAATAAGTAATAGGAATTTTTTGTTCTCCGTTATCTATTACTATGATAATAGAAAATTAATTGTTTCACTATTCATTATGAGAGCAATCAGAATTCTTCATTTTTCATTACCCATTATTATGATAATGAAAAATTAATTTAGTTTCATTATTCACGACAAAAATAATTGGGCTTTTCTGCTTTTCATTTTCCATTCGTATAATAATGAAAATGAATTTTGTACCATTATCGAATAGAAAATTATTTGTTTCTTTTTTTATTTCTATTTCTTATCATCATCAGATTGGAAAATATACTTGGCGTTATTATTCATCACAAAAAAAAACAATTCAATTTCTTTCATTCACCATTAATATGGTAATGAAATATTAATAATGGAAATTATTTTTTTTGCCGATCTCTGTAACTAACATTGACTCGATATTAGTATTCCAGCTTGAAGTCAGAGAATCAACCAAGTTTGGCTGAACATTAGTGTCCAACGTAAATCCATGCTTAGTCTTATTTTGCCCCGGTCTCCGTTATTTATTATCATTTTTATTTCCAGTATTCACTATTAAATTGTTCATTATAATTACCTATTCAAATAGTTGAGTCAAAAAAAAATATGTGGTGAATAAACATATTCTGGGAAAGTTGGTATGGACAATACGAAGTATGAACCAACAGAAGTGCGCAGTAGTTCAGTAGTTAGCGAATCTGTAATGGTAGGGTTCCGGGGTAGAGAATCGTCGGAATATTTAGCGATAACAAATTCGGCTTTTTAATCGATCATCATATTAGACATTAATAATTCAGCAATGACCCATCATCAAAATGATGAAATAAAAGTTAATGAATCATTTTTTATCACTATTTTTACCACAACTGAGTAGCGGCTGACCATGAGTGATGGCATTTGGCAGAAGCTTGAACCATTGCTGCCTTCCACTCTACAAATATCCAAATAATAAAGTTTGGATTGACCGAGATTCAATCCGGGAAATGTGGATAGAATCTGGTAGCCAAGCTTGGACGTAACTTGGCATCCAAGCTTGAACTAGTATTACACACCAAGAATTAGCTACACTGTTAGGAAATTACTTCTGAAATTTCCAGTAAAAAATCTTGAAATTTTTAACAATCACTCATTCACACAAAATTTGCATTTATTTCGTTACTGAAAAATCAATTGATTTCAAGAGTACTGCAATAAAATTGCAATTTTCAGGTCCATATGATAATGAAAATTATTGAATAATTTGAAAATTCAAGCAACAATTTCCCTGAATTTTCAATCCACTGAAAATTCGGTTGAATGTGATGTTCAATTTCCGCAATGAATTTGAAAATTCGAAATGTCACTGAAATTTTAATGAGAATTTTCCAGAACTGGATTTCAGCCAAGCACAGGGCAGTATTCGAGGTCACGATACTCTTTTCTTATAAAATATTTATCGGAAATTGCACACTAGGTTCTGGAAATTGCATCTGATAATTACATAGTAGTTATTCATTTATTTCTAACCAATTGGATGTTTTGCTGGAAGAAGCCCTCGAATACTGCGCTCCGCTTGACCAAAATCCAATCCGGAAAAATTCTCCGCCGAATACCCCTCGACCTTCCAAATTAATCGCAATATTTCCCTCAAGCTTCTCTGCAAACAAACAAAACTTGACACTTTCGTTTGTTTGCAACGAAGCTATCG